AAAGCAGCATTCTTAGATGTTCAGGGCTCAGTTTTGTGCGGTCATTTGTAAGAACCTTTCCAAGGCCACTGAAGCCTCTCTCTATTGACACCTGAGTGCAAGGTGTACTCAATGCTGTTTGGCATAGTGCAACTAAATTTGGATCAACATTCTTTTTCGACTCCCACCACATAATGATATCAGTTTTCAGTGGCGGCGAATCTTCCAAAGGAATCGCGCGCAGCTTTTTCTCCATAGATGCAATACCATCATGCTTAATTTGCTTTCGTTGATTATGTATTAACCTTTCGATCCGTGAAAGCTGACTGGTGGATTCTGGTTCATCTACTTCGTTTTGCTCAGACAGATCGCTACTGTAATTCTTAACGGATTTCAACGAATTCCAAGTTGAAAGCAAGTGGCTCTGAAACAAAATTTAGAACGTTTAGAATGTTAAACATAAAAAGTAGAAAGTCATACTCACTATTGCAATTTCTTTATCATCTTGTGTTAGCATTGGCGGACTAAAGTACGTCGACAAATAAAGCAGCAATAAATGCTTTATTTTTGTACCACAGGTATTTTCTTTGCTCTAAATTGGTGACCAACGACTGAGAAAGTGGAGTATTCAGTTCCATAAGATGTAGTACACATTCATACCAGTATAGGTAGAAATCACCACATGTCAAATTTTGCTCTTGAATACGCTTTGTTAAGGTATACAAAGGTTTCACTGATGCTGCAAAATTTTTGGAGAAAGCCCAGAATTCCTCGTTGAATGTTTCCTTCAGCTCTGTTGTTAGCAAACTGGTGATGAAATCCTTTTGAGAGTTTATGCATTCAACCATTAGAAATGTATATCCCCATCGTGTGTCCGAATCGAGGAATGGTTTTCTGCGTCCATTATCTCGGAAATTATTGACGTATGGTAGTTTTCTCATAATTTTAACTAACTCTCTAACTTGACCAAGTTCCTGTTGCAAGCTTTGGTCTTTGAAAACATCATATACAGATAGCTGAACGTCATGAGCTCCACAACGAATCGATTGGAATACCGAAGGGTCAATTGAAAAATAAATGTCTTCGTCCGTGTGATTTCCATCTTGGGCATCGTCCAATTCCTCTAATTCCAGTGAATCCCTCAAACTGAAATAAAATTATATAAAGAGCTAGAAAAAACGAAAAAGAAAAACACTGTCTATTTACCTTTCATCTAGATCCGTTGGAACTACCGCCATCGTTGGTTCTGTTTCATCAAGGATTTCTCTTGCCGTAACTTTTAACTCCTGTTCCATCCTCAAAATTGAACCAGCTTTCAGGAAGTTGGAGCCGTTGTCCGTCGTAAACGTATAAAGATTTGGGATACTTATGGAAAATCGTTTCAAAATATCCAATATCTCTTCTGCCAGGCGTTGTCCAGTGTTTCGATCGAAGCGCTCGATCATCCCTAATGCTCTGATTATTATTTTTCCATCCTTTACGTACTGCGCATTAATTCCTAGTACCGATCGTCCTTTTCGGGAGGCAAGGTCAGCTTTTATGCAGACCAGGCGACCCCTGGCTTCATTAATAATGAACTTTTCGATGCGGTCTTGTACCACTTCAGCGTAGGTGATGATTCGAGATCTGATTACCCGTTGAATTTGGAGACCATCTTCTATCGGCCCAAGAACATTCCTTACACATTCCTTAGAGAAAAAGTTCATCGGCAAATTGCACTCCGTTGCCCAGCGCACCATGTTGATCAGAAACTCGTTTTTCTCCATTTTTACCTGGATTTTGCTGGTCCTAGTCGGAGGTTGATCGCCAAGTTCATTATTTTCTTGTGTAAGTCCATTGCTGCCTGCAACATCCGGATGCGCAGTTGTGATATGCCGCTTCAAATTATATGTCTGATCACTTATTAACTTTTTCTTACACGTTTTACACGTAAAGATTGTTGGCGTATCACCGGTCGTTTCAGTTTTCTTGTAAAATACTGAGATATCAAATGCGGATCGACGTTTTCTGGACATTTTGCTTTGATAAAGTACAAAACCGAACGCGACGTTTTGTTTATATTTGCAAAACTGACAGCGACAGCAATGAGAAACCATGGGATTGAAAAAAAAAGAGAGAGAGAGAGAGAGAGAGAGAGAGACAGAGAGAGAGAGAGAGAGAGAGAGAGAGAGAGAGAAAGTTGAATAGAATTATAAGGTACAACGAGGCACGTTAGAACAAAAAGAGTTGCATGCTGAAATGGGTAGATCATTTATTAGCGGAAGTAATTGCCTGTATGTTTAAGAACCATTTTGCGGTACCGCATCATATTAAATTGAAAATATAGTGTATCGCAGAATAGCGTGCACCTGATTGGAAAAAAGTTTGGTTCAGTTTGGTACACCTTACTAAAAAATGAGATTTTTATAGAAAAAAAAACCTATTTTAACAATGACTGCAACTTCTTACATACTCAATCAAATATGCCCAGTTCTATACCGACCAATGATCGATCATGAAAAATATATATGCAAAATGAAGCAGTAGATAAAACCTCATAAACTTGTTTTTTTATACTGAACTCGAACAGTTGATTTTTTTCTAAAATTTAAGGAAAGCTGTACGTTAAATTTTGTGGTACACTATAATTACATTAATTATTCCGCTTCGCTTAATCGCTTTAAGATCACTTATACCTATTTGAATTTGCTAGAACGTTTCAACTTGCCCCGGTGTACCTTTATGCTAGAGAGTATTTTTTCATTGATTCTTCTTCTATACTTCTACAATACCTTTCGCTCAGGCACTCACTACAGGATAAGAGAGGAAAGTGAGAGTTTATGTTTTATTTTTTTTTGTTTCCTCATAACTCGCAATCTCATTTTCTGAGACTCTTAATTTGTGAGTGGGAAGGGAAAACAAACTCCTCAGGGAATCCTCAAACTCAGCTCAATTTGCGCTCGTGAGTGAGGCTCTATCAAGCCTGGAAAAAGCATACGAAGTCGAACATGCGAGAAAATGAGCGCTTGATGTTTGCTTTTAGGCTAATCATATTCAGAAGCATGGAGAGAGCAGTGGAGAAAGCATAGGTCTGATAGTCGCAACGTCCGTGGTTCGAGTCCAGTCGGCAACCTTTTTTCTATTTTTTTCGACATAATTAATTTCACTCACTAATACACTCCACATTTTTCGGTCTCCAATTTTCTTACATCGGACCGCAGCTAGGTATATCGCATCCTCGGTTCATGCGGTCTCCACTTACATCCTCTGATGATGAATCCCACATAATTGTAAGCGAATCTTACATCCAACGGTTGGGTGTTCATTTTGACTAAATAACATTTTTCTTACGTCAAATTAATCCCAAGAAACACCTTGTTTTATGAGTACGGATTCTATGTGGACCAGACTTTAGATGTTGAAAGCAGAAATGCTTAACTGGGTATCACACACTAATGATAAATTACAGCGGAGAAAATTAAGTGCATTGCAGATTGCTTTACTTTGAAAAAAATATAAAATTCCTCGGGAAATTCAGAAATCCCGGGAATCGAAAATTATGTTCCGCGAAAATCTCATTGCCCGGGAATGCAAAAAAGATTTTTTCAGCACTCGTCGTGCACCCGTGCTGAAAAATCTTCATTTTGCAACTTGTTGCATAAATAGCTAATTCACGTCGATTCGAGCCGATGGAAAGAGGATGGAAATCACTAACAGAAGAAACATACAGAAACTAAATAATGAAACCATGCAATTCATGTGGAATACTGGACGCACCCACTCACGAACATGTGTGTTGAGCAGAAAATGTGTCAAGAACAGGTGCCTCATTGTGCACATGACTTACCGATACAATCTGCCATACAAATTAATTTCCTCCGTTCGGCTTCCCCTTTTGCACTGTACAAGTGCAACCGCAACACGTGTCAAAGCGAAACAAACAATACTGGACATGTGGAAGAAACAAACAAAGTTTTCCCGACAAACACCCACTCAACAACAGCATGGAGATTCTTTTTAAACTTTTATTTGCTGAATATCATCCAAAATAAATAATTTATATAATTTTTACTCCGAACCGTCCGGTCGGACCAGCTTTCGAATTTTGGTTTTCTAATGTTTTATATGATAATAATGATAATAACAACACAATAATAATTACAACTACCTGCTCATATTTACACACATATACAAATATAGCTCTTGGTTTTTGATTTCCCTTGCATTTATTTTTCTTTCGTTCAATTTAATAGTTGGTAGAAACAAGCGCCAACTACTGTGGCCTTCAATTTGACAGTAAGATATAGTTACATTCTCACCAGTTTTGTTTTAAATTTCATGTAGGTTTTTTTTTGTTTGCTAAATTTATATGCATCTAGTCCTTTGTTTTTCTCGGAAAAAATCTTATCAAGTGAGTAGCTTACATGTACGTACTACATATGTGTAACATAGGTTTTCTTGTTTAGATAGTTAGTTGTTAAGTATTAAGTAACGTACTTGAGCGGTTGGAGGAAACAATCCTCTCGGTTATGCGGGGGAGGTTTATTTGTCAACATGAAATACTTGAATGAATGAATGAGTGGCTATAGTGTGTTTGTGTTCTAATGAATTCGATTTTAAAATTAATTTAAATAATTGTCAACAAATCAAGAGCAAAACATTTTCGAACTAATCCTAATAATACAGACATTCCGGCGGTGGCGGTGGTGGATGGAAATATCTGCCATCCGTCGCGCGCCTTCGGAAGTGGAATCAAATTTGTTTTTAGGTATAAAATGTGAGATTTTCCTTGTTTTGATTAAGCTTAAAGTGTGAATAATTTACGCTAAAACAAAAGCGTTATAATCGAATACTTTTCGTCCCTGGAACTAAAAGTAGGAAATTTGCTAATACAGTTTTTTTTTTTTAAATAATGTGAATAAGTGGAATGTGCAGGGAGTCTGGCTCTACCTTTCTACGCAGAAAATAATCATTATGGTTTCGATCGGTAAATTTTAGTTTTTTGCCGGGGTGTGTAATACGAATAAATAGAATATGGGAATGTGTGGGTACTCCTAGGGTGGTAATACAGTTTGTTTTGTGGTGATGTGAATGGGCGCCGCCTTCTTCGACCGTAGCGGGGGGCATTTTTGAAAAATGTAATTTTCTGTCGATTTCACTGGGTTGCTTTGTTCTAGCGGTCATCTCATTGGTTTGTGATGAGTATTTCATTGCGTTTGGGTTTCTTTTTTGGTGAGTATGAGTATCTGAGTTCATCGTTGGTAATGTTCAATTTAGTTCCAGCTGTGAATTTGAGAAAGAAGGTTAGGATTTTGCCATTTTTTCCTGTGAGTTGGCGGTGGACCTACAAGCTCAAGTATCGAGTGTTCCTTTTACGTCCCATGTTGCACAATTTGAAGTGGCACAGTGACATATCTGTAATGAACACGACAGTTGATTAGTTTTACAATTCAAGATTATTTCAACGTGAAGAACTAACAATGATTGCTTTTCTTTTCCTCCCTAGGTTTCTGGTAGGTCAGCGGTTTCGGAAGCTCCTGAAGCCTTGCCAGCCTGCCCAGGGTCTTGACAGGGTTCTCCGCCGGGAGGTCATCCAGAAGCGTATCGGACTCAGGCTGTTGTTGTTTGTGCAACTCTTGCTGGATCAGTTCCTCCTCCTGTTGCTGTTTGGCGGTCATCCCTCCTAGGTATTGAAGCAGCTTCAGCTCTTGATTGTGCAGTTTGTGAACTTCACCGGCCAGTTCGTTGTAGAGCTCTTCACCAGGAATGTCATCCTTCGGAAGGTAGGTATCCTGGCGAGCCAGTGCCGGACTTGCGAATGCCATCAGTCCCACGACTAACAGCAGGAAGCTGCAGTGAGTTATCATTCTGCGAAAGGTAAGTCAAACAGAATAAATGTAATTAGTTGCTAGACCGAGTTGACGGATGGTTTACATTAGCTTCGGTAATGAGGAAAACTTTTTCAACCCTGTCAAGAGATCAATCATCCGCTGTTGGTTACTCCCACGAAAACTTAGCCAAATTATCTTTGCAAAAGAACATGTTGTCTTTCCCGGTGGTACGGTTAAATGAACGGAAGTATATCTCAGTCCGGTGTTTGATTTAAAATTCACAACATCCTTCCAAATGCTTTCGGCAATCTAGCAAAAAGGTTCGTTACGCCCACCCACATTCCCGAATCTCAATCACGAGATAAATACGTTTTTTTCTTGTACGGTTTTGAGTGGACAAAAACTGCGGACGGCCGTTGAGCGGTGGTAGTAGTAGTAGGATCCAAGTTGGCCATAATTCCTAGGAAAAGCTACCCCATTATTGACAGTGGCAACAAGGCTTTGTTTATTTATTTTTATGTTGGAAGTTTGATTTTCATGTGAGGGTGAGAAGGAAGGGCAGAAAGCTTCAGTGCCAAACAATGGTCCCTTGGATCAACGTACAGAGAGGTGCCGTTGTTTGCGGATGGCGTTTTAGTCGATATTCCTTTTCCCATATTTTCTGACATTACATTACATTAATCCAGGAATCCAAAGAAAAAGAATTCCGGCTAAAACTCCATCCGCAAACAACGGTACCTCTCTGTATTGGCGTATGAACTTGTACTTGAAAATCTCGGTCGAAGTTAGGGATGCCGGAAAGGTGCAAAGTCACGTTGCATAAAGAATGACTTTGACCCCCATGGACCAAGGAAATGCAGGCACGTTTAAAACTGCACTAAAGCACTACCATTGTGTTCCATTGCCATATAGTGGTTTGGGAAAGGTTCATGTATGTTCTGCAACTGGTCGAGTGATTGCAATCTTTAATTTATAAAACTGGATAAATCTCGTAAATGGAGCGTTATACCCCGTACAGACTATGGCTTATATCATGTAATATAGGCTGTCTTGCAATGGGCACTAATACATTGGATTTCCAGTGAAAACTAGATGTATAAGTGCTCATTGCATGACAACCTATATTACATGATATAAGCCATAGTCTGTACGGGGTCTTACAACGTCACAGAATTATTTTTTATTGTAATAATGGAGACTTCGTCCTACGTAGGTAAAGTTTATTTGCGCCTAATTACTAATAATAGTGTTATTAGATTGTAAATAGCACATAAAGTTCGGAAGAAATTCTTCAACAATTCTTTACTCATTATAACCAGTTTCCGAGACAGAAAATTAAGTAATCTCCAGGAATAGTTATCAACTTGTTGAATAAACTTTCATTGTACTTTCTCAAACAATGCCACCTGAACAAGTTGTATATTTTTTGCAAGGTCAGCATCATTTCAATGCTATACCCAAGAAAGAAACTTTTCACTTGCATATAGTATTATCATGGTTAACGAAAAGCAACCATTTCTATTTACAAACAACCTTCATCTCTATATTAAAACACACCGTTTCGTCCATAATCGTCATCTGACTCCAAACATTTCCCCATTTCCCGTCCTAATTCTACCAACATCAATAAATTTGGAAATTAAGAAACTTCTGCCATTAACCATAAAAAATCGAAAATCATAACAAACATAAAAACAATCACGGAGTTAATTGCTCTGAATCGCAATCGAAAGCGATCGTACGATCCTGTCTCGCTCTGCCGCAGTAGGCCAGCCTGCAGCCATCCGTGATAATCGTTGTAATGTCCCATAGCCTACTGTTTCTTCGCCGCATAATGCCGACAACCGCGCGATAACGACACCGCGAATTATTACATTTTATAACGACAGAGAAAAGTGCCCGTCAAAGTTCAATTAATTAGCCTCGTCCGTTCGCCCATCCATCGCGCATTGTCCTTTTGCAGCGCGCGTTTTCTATGACTGTAGGTACACACTGTGCGGTGCATCATCAGGTCAGCTTCGCGATAACGGTGAACCATCATTTGAATATATATAAAAAATACTTCCATAAAATGCACGATTGCAAAATATCATCAGCTCACGCTCATTGACTGATTACCACCGCCGCCACCGCCGCCACCGTGCGGATCCGTACTATATGGAAGCGAATAAGCTAGATTATGCGGACGGAAAAAGAAGATTACGCTCGAAACGGTCCGTCGTAATCGCGCGGCAGCTGTGGTCGTCAGTGCGGTCAAACGAGACCGAGGAGGCGTGGTCTGATTCCGCACCACTGACTGACGGCTGCTGGCCAATCTCGATGAGGAACTGGATTGAACTGCAAACCACGAGGCGTGGCCTACTGCGCTGTTATACTGCCCTGCTAGCGTATATTTTTTTTAGATGAAGCAACAATACAGTTAAGGGAGAGATGACGTCAAACAAATAAAAAAACGTTGACGCAACTTTTCTCGAAAAAAAAAAAAACGTAATTTGTGTCTCCCACACCGTTAAGAACACAAATCGTTCGATGATACGCGCATTTATGCTTGTCTGAATGCAAATCATAGAATAACATGTTTGGAAAGTTGTGTTTTTTCAATGGGAATCAAATTTACATGGAAATCAAGTTGCGTCTACTTGACAGTTGTTAGCAGGAAATGACATTTGCATTCGAAAGTTCATTGCACACACATAACCTCATTTTTACAGTTTAGAGAGCTACAGGGTTTTACACACAATACAAATGACACGGACATCAAATGTAAGAGTGGATGCCTTTCATACTCTGCATTTTTTTTTTCTTACTGTAAATGTAATGGCAGTACTGCACAGACCCAATTTCAGATTAAAGTTTGACGATAACCGGGATGATCATAGCACGCTAATGACGCCGACAAGGGGTAGGTCTCTCCGCACACCAATCTTGGGTCAACATTTTTCTCAGTGTGCCGCAAGTATACCGCTGGTGAGCCGCTGGTGTGCCGATTTTGCCGATTGTGCCGGGCATAGAGCAAGCTGCGATTTAATAGTATATTATAGAATAGTATGGTATATTTGACAACCCGTTATTTCTGACAGCTTGAATATTAAGGTTTGCAATCGCAACGCCCCGAAAATGTCGAATATCGTGCTCGATAAGGATTCCTTCTACCGACGCCGACCTCTACTCCAGCTGGAAGGAACCCGAGTTTTCTCATGATGATTCGCTGCAGAAGGTAGATTGCATTCTGGCGGCGGTTGGCGTAGACGAGGAAACCATCTACAGCAAATCAGCTTCGGTGAAGACTTGGTTGCTGGGATACGAGCTACCGATACGATTACGGTACTGTGCGAAATGTCAATCTTTTTCCTGACCAGCAAGAAGAAGGTCGATTTCTTGAAGCAGATCGAGAAGGACGGTGAGGAGGGCATTCCGTCGGTGAAGCTGTTGGTTCGGGAAAAGAACGACAACGACAAGGGCAACTTTGAAAAGCAGCTGGATGGCAAAATGTGTGGTTCTCCAAGGAAAACTTCCCGGGTGAATTCTGTGACTCGTGGCGAGCCTTCATCAAGGATAAGAGCTTCGACACGGTGGACATCAGCGTCCCAATTGCGTACATCATGTGCTCCAAGGAGGACGCCGAGGTTATCACCATCAGACGGTAGACGTATTCAACAAGTACCTCAAGGATCACATCATGGAGATTATGGATGCTTATAAGAAAGTAAAACATGCCAAACTGTCGGAGGGTGTCCAGCAGACTCTGACGGACAAAAGGTACGTCTCCGGTGTAGATACCAACGATTATCCAGTCGGGTGGGAATTACAGCTTGAAGTTCAGTGCATTAAGCAACAAGAACTATCTGCACTTCGGATCGATCGTCTACACTGAACGAAAACATCCGCAATACTTCGACTGATTATTGTATTGCTTGAGCCCTTTAACAATATGCTGTCGAATTTCGGATGATTTCCTTATGGTTGAATTCGTCATCAACTGATGAGCATTCATATGACTGTCCTCCAAATAAAGGATGATATTTATTTGAAAATTGCTGTAACAGGGCTCAAAGGACAACCATTTAAGGATAAGATAATTTACAATTACAAATGCTTTGGAAATTAGATTATTGGTTGAGGAAACTTCCTCCACCACAAAATAGATAAACTACGGTTTCCACGCTTTAAAAATGTTCGTAGTTCGTACCATCGCATCGATGGCTATGCTTCCACCTCGTTTGTCTGCTGAAAGCAGCAAATGACGTTCAATAGAATTATTTACATCATCGTTTTGAAAGATTTGCGTTAAGCGGCTGAACCAATACCAAATGCATTTCAATTTAAGATGACTATCATTCTGCAGAAAGCATTATGCATTCCAACTGAAGGTCTTATCTGTTCTCATAACAATGTTTTAAAACAACCGTCATCCGGTTGCAGCTATCATTTGAAAAGGCGATTTCCATGTTTCGATTTGAATGGTCTGAGGTTTCATTCGAACAGAGGACGGTGGTTTGGTACAGTGTATGCTCTGGGTGCGCGTTATAGTATACAAATCCTACTGCTCTGAATGTTACTGGTCAATCCGACGGAAACGATTCAGAAGCACTACACCTTTCTGCTCAATCTGGAAGAGGAACTGCAGAAGGTGATGATTCCGGACAAGAAGTTCTCGGACGTTTTCCTCATCGGAATGGTTTATGCCAAGAAGAAGAAGGACCCCAAACTAAGACGTTCGTGTTGGAGTTCCGGGATAAATCCATCGTAGTACCTCAACAAGTGAAATTCGGTTTAAAAATTGTAAGCTAATTAGGCTGAGTTGAAATTAGTTCGGTATTGTTCAAATGAGTTTGGTTTGGTAGACGACCAATTGACCGACTACTTTTCACGGCACAATCACACGGAATTTTTATTGCTTCCACTCAACTTAATTAACTTTTATTTTTGTTACAAAAATCGAAACCCATTTAATTCATCTCGTATAAGATGACACATATCCGAAAATAAAAATACTCTTTTACTTTATTCGGATTCAAACCGAAACCTCACTTCAAA